GGTCCCACATCATGCGTTTACAGGCGGGAACAGGCTTGTTGAATACCTTACTGCAGTGGTGCCACATTTCAGCCGGTCCTATGATGATGATACCATGTGAGATCCTGCAGAATCTACCCAAAAACCTTAAATCGCCACAGCTAATGGGAAAATGTTCCGTGATAACATTGTCTACTTCTTTGGGGTAAGCTAGAATGCCATTCTATATGATGATTTAAACGAATGAACTCCTTACGTCGAAGAAGAATTCTGCTGTTGTATTAAAGTGCGATGTGTGATAGAAAGTTGATATCCTTATTGTGCAAACGTCTGCCTTGATAGAAGAGTACGTTTAAGGAATCCTGACAGATACAACAAGTAATCTTCCAAGGTAATACTTCTGTGGAAATCTATCAAACAGGGCTGAGCCAAGCATCGTTTGACAAGGTATCAGTGTGTATTTACACCACTCTCATGTGAACGGTCCTATGCAAATCCTGGCGCGATTATTCTGGTTAGTTCACACCAGCGCAGGGTCCAGAACAGAAGGAGAATGACAGAAACGAAGGTGATGTGAATACATATTCAACAGATCCCGAAATGGCATGCGTCTTGTTTAAATTATATACTGCCTTTGGTGCTGGAGTATTCCAGAGCGCTTTTTATGATTTCACCGATTAACTTTCAAGATTCACGAACTTCTGCATTCCTTTTATCAGTTTTTGTCACCTGTGGAACCGAAACCACATACCACTGGGTCTCTAGGGTCTTGAGTTTCAGACTGAATAATAGCTTGTCTGATGCTGTGATTACACTTCAAAGCGTATATAAATGGAGGAATCGAGACATTCGGTAAGCTCAGTGACTGTATGTTGATATTGGTGAACGGGTGTTTGATTGAACAGCAGGTATAGTATCAAAACACAGTCTAGTTACACGTTAAGTGTGCCAGTTCACTAGCCATCAAGAATAATTCTATTTTTGCTGCTATCTTCCGACTGGAGCCTTTCAAATGATTGACACCTCGGTAGGTGTTTGTGCTTGCTATCGAAGTTCAGTAAATCAGCCTACCACCGCGAGTGTGACTTGTAAGGCCATGGAAATGCAGAGATGACTGTCGCCTTCTTGATTTATGGTGATTTAGAGAGACTTGGTAATCTTTATTGGAAGTTGTCGAACCCCTCAAATTACCATTAATCAGTGAGTGGTTCAGAAAGGAAACAATTTCAAAATGTGTTTGAAAAAATAACAAATACTCTGGGTTAGGAGAGAAAAGTAGAGTACAATTTTAGGTCGGATTGCTTGACACTTGTACACGAAACAAATGTTCTCCCAACCTTCATGGTGAGGTTCGAGATTGAAACAATCGGGCTCGACGAGATACTACTGACAAGGTTGCTGATTACTCTTATAAACCACAGTGGTCTTTATGCAACACATTTATTTGGAGACCATCTAAAAAGGGGGATTCTGCAGGGTTCCAGCCGAGTTAACACCACACGGGCTTGCTAATGATTGTATTTCGCTATTTGCGCTCAACTTGGTTTAGAGTAGAACATATTGTTGACAAGACACGGGGACAGGGTGTACCTAATCAACCTCAAGAAGGGTTGAGTAGGTAGTGGGCTGTCGAACGGTTTCCATTAACTTAGTAATTAGCGCCTTCTGCTGAACAAATATCTATTGAATCTCATTCCAAAAGAAGCACATTCACCTGAATGATAACATAAATGAGTGACCCGTTAAAACCAGATTTGTTTGTAAATGAGACTGTTGCGCGAGGCTCCAGTCGAATTGGGGATTATCTCTAAAGCAGGCATAGTACGGTTCAATTATCGTTTTGACCTTGAAAGCAGGGTTATTACTAGTTGGTCTGGAATCCACTGGAAGCATGAAGCACAAATGAACCCCTATTTTCTATGTAGCGCACCAAATCCAATTACAACCATACAGACTTCCTTCAACTTGCCGGGCAACTTAGTGTTTTTTCGTAAACCAGTAGCTAAGCTCATTTCTCTCTTTGAATTCTAAATTCACTAAGTGGGCAAATCACGAATAATTCGCTTATGGAGTGAGAAACTCCATTGGAACCACTCTGGATGGATGTTAGAAACACCTAACTGGTAAACGAATTCAACAGTCGTTTCAAGCCTTTTAGTCATTTGTCTCGTGGATCAGAACTGAGCGAACAAGAGTTTTTCGCCAGTATTTTATTGCACGGGGACCAGTCAAACCTCGTTTATGTAAAAAAGAAGCGTAGAACTTAGATAGTAAACTTGTATGTGGCCAAGATAAGTCTGTTGCCTCAAATAAAGGGGAAATGTTTAACTGATTCCCAGGTAGCTTCTCATTTTGTGGCAAACGAAACAATGGTTACGATGAATTATGCACTTCAGTTTCAAATAGATAAGAAAACTAGCGTTTTTTAACTAAACTGCCTTTGTCGCAATGACACCCGTATTTATGCGCTTTCCTCTCGATATACATTAGCTTGACGCTAAAAACCACCTTTGTTTACCTTCAAACTCACTCAGCAATCTTGAAACTGCACAACTCTAAGCGTTGGCGTATCAGTATTTGACTGTTTTTATCAACGTGCCAGCCTTGGTAGATACAAGAAGCTAATCAACCTGGAGCTGGTGAGCATGTTGCGTTCAACTTTGAGGTCGATGACTCGCGCACAACCGAACATCAGTTAGCGTGTAAGAGTCTTAGTCCTTGGTCGCAAACAAAACAGCATTCGTTGATTTTCTGGTGATAAGGCTGTTTCAATCATCCGTCCAGGCTAGCTATATTAGCGTCGTCTAACAATCGTACCAAACTGAGTTGGCTAAGTTCAGTTTGAGAACCACAGCTATGTCAAGTGCTAGCAAAGAAAATCATCAAGACGAAACCCCGTTAACCGAATTATTACGATTTTGAGAACCTTGCGGTAAGCTGGTTAATGTGGAGTAGGTCACGTGAAAGTGATTGAGGTCATGGGACTATGCTCCGTAGAATTGGCCTTCGCAACTATTCAATTGTCACACATTACTCTTTCACGAGTCAACCTTACGCCGACTATTTTTCGTTTAAAGCGAACGAAACATCATGGCTCACCATGTCTTAGCGATCATTCCCTGATATCGACTACTACCCTATTTCATAGGACACTGCCCGCTCATTCTCCACATCCGACCTGATCATTATCTGTCCGCTGCATCAAGTACTTAGTGCTGTCTCATAATTACGACAAGATCCTAAAGCTGACTTCAACCCCTAGAAGAACTACACCGAAAAGGATATTTGTACCTTAGTGTTAGCTGCAATGAGCCAAGCTCGGGGTTAGCAGCAAAACTGGGTTAGCAGGCAGATAACAAACAGAGAGCAATTATGATATGAGTAATAGTAGTTGAGGTGCCTGTAGGTAAATTCGTACATTTCGCCTCGGCCGGAATGAAAGAGGTATACCTGCGATTGAACTGTCTTACATTCATTTTTATAGAGACAACGATAGTACCTTCCACCGACGTAGTACGGGATGGCTAAAATCAGCTATGAAAACCTCATGCTCCTCACCTGGCGGGTGGATACTGATTGCCGGTCCCAGTGCTCTCGCAAACAAGTGGAGTGTACGGTTCGAAACTGCTGCACACAGCAGTATAGCATCAAGAGTTCTGTTCATCATTATGTGTCTCCTAAGGTTAGGTCACTCCCGTAAGCCCCAGCGACTTAATCCTTTAAATCGTTAGATTCAAGCAGATATTCTCAGGAAAAGCCCTGCTATTCACTATGCTGTAAGTCAGACCAGTAAGTCTAAGGCCTAAAATGGGGATATGTGGTCGAAACATGCGGGAATCTAGGACAAAAGTTGATTTAACCTGATAACTTAAAGACGGGTGTCAGAGCTTTGCTAGACAGACAGAACAGTGAAAATCCTGAACGACCGACAGCCTCTTTTGCACAGTACTCGAATGTCGCAGTGCTGGCGGTGTAACTCGAGAGAGTTTTCGTACGAACTTCTAATTCAAGCCTGACAATGTTCCTTGTGGACAAGTGTGTAGTTCGAAAGGAAATATTAACTAAAATTGTAATCTGTGTTTACATGCTTTCAAGAACGATCGATGAAATCCTTCAATCCAACGGAGCCAGTAAGGGATCATTTCGCTCCTATTTCAGTACCTGTTTACCGACAACATTTCATTCTCAGTAGGAGAAGAACAGGTTGTTAAACGAAATCCAATAACCGTGTGTCGTCTTCGATCCTTTTCTAACTGGAGATTTTAAGGATCAAGTTTGTCATGGCTAAAAAAATTTAGATTTAGTCTTGTAATCGGATCAATAAATGAGTGGCATCAACCAATATCATCCCTTAAGTACGGGTCTGAAACTAATATGGAACCATCGAAGGAATAAACAGGCAAATTCTACTAGTAACACAACTTGTCGGCTCAGGGAATTCGGAGAAGTTTTCTCAATGGTGATGCATGGGGACCCTGATTCGGTGGCTCTAACCGATGAACTCCACGAAACAACCATACATCGGTTGGCGGACATTTAACGGAGTTTACCGGATGAGTTTCAGAAAGCTCAAGAAAGGTAGTGAAAGATCCCATAGACTTCTTCCACATTGTAATAAAGGCTGATTTGAGAATGGAGGTCGAGCACCATCATGAATTTTCATAATGTATCTTTTAGGCCCACTGATGGTTGTGTATCTACCCACTCCCCAGTCTGCGTTGATGTAAAGTCATTGAATGTGGCCCTACAGTTGACTCGAACAGATTGTGTATTTCCATTTTCGACTGGTATATCCGTATAGGGTCCTAAATGACCTAGTCTCTCCATTATCGTGATTTTTTCACAAGTCATGGCTGTACACGAGCTACCACTAGGAAACGCATGAACCGGTTACCCATATTAGACCGAGGCTAAGGAATGTCACTGGAGGCATTTACAATTTGGATTTGAGGCGAACAGCAGCAGATGAGATCGACAGCACATGCACCTTGTTTGTATTAAACTTGCTCAAGGCACACTCCCAAGAAACTCAAGACTCATACTACTACAGAGACATATTGGTACATACATAGAGCTTGCTATTTTTTCGAGCACCAGATACAAAACCAAAATTATTTTACTCGGGATGAGGGGTTGGGGTTGGGAAAAACCGATGTGGGGAGGGGAGATTTGGGACGAACCAATGAAATGAAAGCACTGGTGGTACCACGAATGACACGTGGGATGGGACGGGGAGTGGGACTGGGGAATGGAAATGGTAGGTGGGGATTTCGTCTCATATACAGGAGGATGTTACTCACGCCAACTGGCTGGACCAAATCCTCCAACAAGCGGGAATGGACATGAGCACATCTCTTTGGGAATGTACACGTTGGTTCTTTCATCTGACCTGAGAAGGTGTTGATTTCTCGAACGCTTGTGGATTGATCTTGTACTAGGAACCGATGTTTTTTGGAATGTGTGTGTGTAAAGGGGCTGCATGCAGCTGGTAGAAAAAATAGTCACCAGAAGAAGGCATGTGTCACCTGGAAACATACACTTTCACTCTGGGAATAGAAGAGGTAAACTGGCACATGTATGGGATCAAAATGTACCGTTTCCTTGTAGTGAGACTAGACGTGAAGTGGATTGTTGTTAAAAATTATGTGGAATGAGGGACTCAGAAGACAGCGATATACTACTGTTTTTGCACTGATTGTCGTCAGGACTGGTGGTAAGCTGATTGTGAGTCAGCAAGGATACAATAAATCCACGCTGAAAAATTTGGTTTGATCACTGTGAGTGGATTTCACAAGGCGGAAGGATGGGGCTGAGCAAAGGAAGACGGTTTGAAACGGGTACGACATGAGCAACCACTTTGATACCTGAATGGCTAAGCAAGGTAGCAGGGATACCTAAGACGAATAAGAGCCTTTAAATTTGGATTCACAGGACCTGAAACGAAAGACGTAGGTGTGTCACTGTCTCTGTATCTTTCTCTGATGAGTAATTTGAACTTAAAATGTAACTAGTCCAAAGAAAACTGCAAACTAAAGGAAAGACAATAAGACCAATGCTACGCGCACATTATCACAGCAACTCCGAAGTGATGTGAACAGGAGTTAATGAGGCACAATATTACCATAGTCTGTGTGTTTGTGCGTTTGTGTGTACACGCGCGCAGGTTTTCGGTTGCCGACTGGAATGTGGGTTTTCTCATATAAAGCCTATTGGATCGGGCCGAATAACTGAAAGACACAAGGTAAAAGATAGTAAACAACTCAAATACGCTGCATGATCATGTGTGTGAGTTCATAGTCCCATGTTTGGCTTGAACAGAACTAACACAAACATTTCTCAGACACTTGTGTGTTTTGACTGTTTTTCTCAGACCCTATAGCCGTTTGATCGGATCGGCTGTCGTCCCCGATTCATCTGTTGGTCTCTGTCGATCTCCTGCGTCCTGATGGGAATCAGCTTCATGAAGATTGTCCAATTCGGCTACGGGAAGCTCAGTTGTAGCTGCGGTTCCGAGAGCTTGGCTGACAGACTTTACCATAGACGGGTTTCCGTTGGTCTGTTGTGTCGAAGATGGATAGCAAGGGGCAGGCTTTGTGGAAGTGGTTGAGGTCGAAGGTGGTATATGTGGGGATTGATTTTCACAAGGAGGAGTTTTCGGTGGACGGGGTCCTCGGGGAGCTGCGGTGCCATTAGTCGTAGACGTTGGCAGAGTACCTGCGATGGTTCCAAATGTGGGCATACTAACAGAAGCATTCAAAGTAAGTGTTGTCAGGGTGTTTGCTGTGGCAGCAACTGCTGCTGCACATGGTTGAGCTATATGGCCGGCACCAGTCCAGGTGTTGACAGCCGAGGCTGCTGAAGTGGTGTTGCCCGGGGGCTTTGGCAATCGCCTTCGTAACCACTCGTGACGAAATGCTTCACGGGGTGTCATCCGATCCTCCGGAAGCCATTGAAGACATCTTCGTAGGAAGTCCAAGAACGTGGTATCTTCACAACCACCTAGAGCTGTGACAAGAGACCGGCTACCCGGGGTGCCCCTAATTTTTCCCCTTTTACTCTTGCTTGGTCGGAGTACAACACGGCCCTCGGAGTCAGTTGCCATACAATATCTTGGATAGCCATGAGTTGTCGAGAAGAAGTGTTTCACTCTTCTGCATTGATCCAAGAGCTTCTGAGGCTGCATTCCTAGCAGTTCAATGATACAAGCCAATTGATCTCCTTCATCCTCTCCGGGAAATAAGGGAGCGCCTGAGGACGAGATTGGAAAAAGGTGTCCGAAGAAGTCAAACAGCATGAAAGGCAGTATAAAATATTAGACAAATGCTAACAAAATACTGCTTCCTTCCCAGCTTCAGTAAACATTTCCAGCAGCATAACAGAAAAGCAAGATTAACACAGCTGTCATGTTGTTATCCGTGTTCCAGAGGATGTACTTCATCTATCTAGTGAACTCAAGAGGAAAATTTATTTCATAAACCTCTTCATGCGGTTAAGAAGAACAACCAAAGAACACGACTTCATCGGTCCTTGGGGGTAGTACAAGATAGTAGGTTTTGTATACCCACACACGATAATTTTTCATTGAATATTTGAGTGCTTGAAAACGGGGGTTTAAGGTTGAATTTGAACATTTATCCTAATCATCGCCAGTAAAAATGCTTTCATTTTTTGCTGAAAATAAGCTTCTCACACAGAAAGCCAAAAGGTTGATATGCAACGTACGACGAGCTTGAAAGGATAGTGCTATTACTGCAGCAACGAAAATCCGTCGATGGCAAAGCAATACTCAAAAGCGATGCTTCTGAATCCTTTAAGTGTAGTACTTAATATTCTTACATAAACAAGACAATATCATTAATTAATACTCTACTGAGCACTGCAAGAATGAAGCAACATGAAGTGAAGTTATTCTGGTCGCCACAAAAGCTGACACAGTTGACATGCTCACAACATTTAAATGAACGCACGTATGATATTATCGTTTCTATAAATGTGTAGAATTTTGAAGCTGAATGTTGAACGTCTTGTGGTGATTAAGTGCTTAATCCTTTGCTCTCACAAAACCGCCAGATTGGAACTGATGTATGTGTAGAGACATGAGTACGATGCTTTCGGTAGTACAGCGGATATTGTTTGGAAAGGCAAGTAAAGGAACTGCCTCAATTAAGGCTAAGGAGAGTTATAAAAGACAAATAAGCTTGGATTAGTACAAATATACGATCATAATCTTGCTTCTACTCCTTCCTGACGGCAGTAAAAATTGTGTTCGGTCGTAGTGTTCCGTTCATGATTACCAGCGTACAAAAGCAGCCTGACTCAGCCAGAAGACGACCAGTTCTTTTGATCTTTCCTGTGTGTATATGGTGAAGCTTGCGCAGGCTACTGGCACAAAAACCGTTCATGATTACCAGCGTACAAAAGCAGCTTGACTCAGCCAGAAGATGACCAGTTCTTTTGATCTTTCCTGCGTGTATATGGTGAAGCTTGCGCAGGCTACCGGCACAAAAATTGTTTTTTTGAGGTGTGTGAATGCGGAAAAGAATAATGTTACCTTCCAACCTGCTTTTATCTTCAGTAAAGCTCACTTGAGTTGTCTCAGTATCAGTTATCGAAAGTCATAATCTCACGCAACTGCTTGTTTTAGCACTAGTATAGCTATTCTGTTCTCCAAAATTCATTGACTGAAATAAAAATGATTGTGGTTATCCCATGTCTACATTATAGCACCGACGTACCTACGAGCAATTTGTGGAGAGTTTCTTGAATAACCACAAGCGGGAGATTCAGCTAGGTTCCAGGTGTGTCTCTCGAAAAACCAAATTTGTTTGCAAATGAGTGTATCTCTCAAGTTTCTTCATTCATTGGACTAACAAGTTAAAAATGGTTTTCTGGAGTAAACGTGTAAGTCTTGCAATTCCAAATCAGAAGTTTCATTGGCTGAATTATCCGTGTAAGCAGTTAACAAGAGCAACCAGGTGCGTTCAGGCCTTAGTGGGTCCAAAGGCCACAATCATCAGGTCAGGAAAAAGTGATTATCCTCTCAAATTCCAAAGGCAACAAAAGCACCTAAAAAAACTAAATCCACCTATTCGGGTACAGAGAGGTGTTAAAGTAACATTGGACTCAGTGCGCATTTTTTCCGACAGATAAATGAACCCAGTAAAAGCGTTACTTCCTGGTCTGCAAGAAATAAGTCTAACCAGTCCCAAAATCACGTGATCATATGAACACCCAATCAACGTGCGGAACAAAATCAGTGGATCACGTGTTCTCAAGCTGTGGCTGGGACGTCTGGGAAAAACAGTATAATACTGTCCAGCGCCAAGGTCCATAACTCAAGTAGGGTTGTAGTTTTTTACTAACAAATTCAAAAAAGGCTTACTAGTATGATTAGAAGAACGTTGCATTCGAAAACCAGGGTACGATACAGAATATTCTTAAGTTGAAGACCAATGCTTTATTTCGGCTGCTATGACAAAACAAAAGAGGATACGAACAAACTCGGGGAGAAGAAAATAATCTGTTACGTTTTTGTTATGCCCGACCAGCTGAGTCTGGAAACTTAGAACGAAGCAAATAAGCGACCATTCAAATAGCCGAATATTTAAATTGCAACCTTGATGCTTGGTTGTTCTCTTGTCTGAGATTGTTTAAAATGCGACTGACACCAAACGGGGCCTAAACCAGTAGTCTTCTTCTTCGTAAGCTGCCGCCGATTTCTTCAAGTTGCAATTAGGAAACGGGTGTTCGTTTGTGAAGCAAAAGTTCCTATCGAAGAACACACCCAGCACCAAAACTACAATGGTTTGGTCGCGTATTGCGCACGCCGAGCTATCGTTTGCCCTACAGAGTACTGTTTTTCGTGTCCAATTCAGGGTACCGCAAGCAGAATGGTGGTCGACCTTTGACCTAGCTTAGGGATATGAAAGAGATTACGAAAGATACCAACGCTGTCGGTGCGACCTCAGGCGATTCAATATCAGCTCCGCGTGATCCCCACTCTGTACGGTTGGACGCGCTGCAAAATGTGGCTTCTCATCGATTTCAATGGTGTTCTTGTTGACAATTTCTTCCCAGAGCGTCTGAAGGATATCTGGAGGTGTGGACACCATCGAATGTGTATCATGCGTTAGCAATAAGCCTCGCCGCATCCACCTTCTTTTATCCTTCGTTCACTTATTTTCTTCACAACAAGACCTTCAAGTGAATTATGGTTGTATCGTGGCGAAGCATCAGTATTGAACTCTTAAGCGTTTTCAATGTTAAGTATGATGAAAAGATAGAGACTGGGCCCTAAGAATGGTGAAAC